CTGTTGTGTAGAAGGAATGGCAGGTGTTGACTGTTGTGTAGAAGGAATGGCAGGTGTTGACTGTTGTGTAGAAGGATTGGCAGGTGTTGACTGTTGTGTAGAAGAAATGGCAGGTGTTGACTGTTGTGTAGAAAGAATAACAGGTGTTGACTGTTGTGTAGAAAGAATAACAGGTGTTGACTGTTGTGTAGAAGGAATGGCAAGTGTTGACTGTTGTGTAGAAGGATTGGCAGGTGTTGACTGTTGTGTAGAAGAAATGGCAGGTGTTGACTGTTGTGTAGAAGGATTGGCAGGTGTTGACTGGCTGGCAGATTTCAATAGACCAGCAGGTACTGAATGATGTACAGTCGGAGTGATTGGAGATTGGTTGGATGGGGTTGCTATCTTGCTTAAGTATATGGTGCTGGTTTCCATACCTGGCAATGTCTCATCAATGTTTAAAACATTTGAAATTTCAGCAAGAGATGGTAGAGAGCCTGAATCTTCAATACTATTGTTGTCAAATGCATATACTGGGTCAGAATTGAACAAGAACTCACCACTTTCAAGTATTTGCTTTTCAGGTCCCGATATTTTCTCTTCATGCTTCGACCTTTCCATAAACATGAGAATCTTTTCCACATTCTGTTCAATCTTTTCAAGTCTTTGGACCACGACTTCCTGGCATTTACAAATGTACAATTCTGTCTGACAGCCATTGTCCTTCATCTCCTTCTGTTGATATGCATACAAGAGCTGCCTCACCTTGTCTTGCTCCTGTTGGTCGAGAAAGGTCATGGTGCCAGGCTTTTTTGCCCCAAGATTCTCTGCGCTTTCTGGGGTAATTTCCTCCTTGCTTGCAGACTCTTCTGCTTCAATGGTAATTATCTAGTATGGAGTACAAAAATGCACTTAATTGTAGTACCGGTAATATACTAGATCCATAAGTATTCATTAATCATGCATCCCTGCCAAGACGTTTTCACAAATTAAAGATTGCAAATTCAGAATGATATGATAATGATGTACATAAATATTAATATTTTGTTGGCATCTCACTCGAATTAATAGTTGACAGGTTTTGTAGATGGAAATGATCGAGTGAAGAAATTTTACATACAATTATTAGTTGGTTCAATTCCTGCCAGGGACCTGTAGTTGCCTTTCTTTGCAACTGTTCATGGTTAGGTAAAATAAATATAGAATTTTTCAACTCGATCTTTTCCATCAAAAAACACATCAACCATTAATTCGAGTGAGATGCCAACAAAATATTAATATTTATACCCATACCTTAACATACCCTAATATATTTATATATATATATATATATATATATATATATATATATATATATATATATATATATATATATATATATATATATATATATATATATAATATATATACAGTATATATATTCTAATCATATATGAGTAGAGTGCTCAATACCGTAGGACAGCTAATACGATTAGAAGACAAACTGGCAAGACTCGTCTTGTCATACGAAATAAATTTGTACTGAATTAAACCATTGAGTGGCAATGCGCCCCAGTGCGCCCTACTTATTTTTTTTACTTGTCTAACGCCAGACGATTTTACTCGTCAGTGGGGAAGCTCTGCCGCTTAATGGGTTAACCCAAAAAATATGACAATGTCTCTAGTTAACCCGTTGAGTGGCAATGAGCCCCAGTGCGCCCTACTTATTTTTTTTACTTGTCTAACGCCGGACGATCTTACTCGTCAGTGGGGAAGGTCTGCCGCTTAATGGGTTAAAGTTCATGTGAAGTAACTCAAGTTTGTTTTCTAAAATACATGAAGCCCGTCATATTTTATTGTATACTTTAGATTGTAAATATTAACTTTTTCATATGGGCAAATAAAATTCAATTCAAATTCAAATTCAAACACTATGAATCAAGTCCTATACAGTAGTTTAATCCTTGGTCTAGTTGCTATTAATTTTGAGGGCCTATTCAAATCCCACATATAAAGCAGTAAGGTAACTGCGATGTTGTCAAAATTTGATTTAAAGCTCACACCTACCTCTACGCTACGCTGCACTTGTTTGTGAAACCTAAAATTTTGAAAATCATAGTCATAAATAGTAAGAATTACTAAAGCAATTATTTTCACTTTTCGAGTGGTATACGGAAAATTTCAAATTAATTATCAACACTAAAACAAAGTACTATGGCTAACCTGTCCAGTTTGAGCTTGGACTCACGTTATTATTTTTGCGTGCATGCATGTTTGACGCGATAACAGTTGCTATGCACGTTTTGTTTTTTAATACAATGTCGTTTGTCAATGTTAAAATATTCTTAACAGTTAAAAATATTTTAACATTGACAATAAACATCTTTCTTTTTCCCCAATAATAAAGCTTAAAGTTAAAGCAAAGCCAAATGACATCTGCTTTGTCTAGTTGCTATTAATTTCGAGGGCCTATTCATATCCCACAAATAAAACAGTAAGGTTAGCGATGTTGTCAAACTTTGATTTAAAGCCTCACACCTACGCAGTACTGTAGTTGCCTGTGAAAACGAAAACTACGAAAAACACAATATCATATCGCTATACTCGTTCTATGACCTACATCTAATATTTTAGAACATTTCTAAGATAAACAGTTACAGCGATGAAATAAGCAAGAATTCCAGAGTGACTTAATTTACAGTGATATATATCACATCATCTTCATTCAACCATCCAGAAGCTACATGCCCTAAATAGCGGCATGACTCACTGCAAAAATATGAATTACACGTACCCTAATATGGTGTTACAAGCGCAAGTTTATTCATACCTCATTCTTTATCGGCTGTTCAACACAACACACAACTTAGACTTAGTCAAGCGATTTTTATCTTCTATCTATCTATCGACTACAATGGCTTTACGTGAATCACAGCGCCAAAAAAATGCAAAGAGAATGTTGCTGTTCTTTGGTGGTGACCAGACCACGTCTATTCTTGAAACGAGCAAGTTGATAAAAATTTTAGAGGGCGATCGGCTGGTGGAGGGTGCCTCGGTACTCGTTAAATACGGGAAAGAAGATCTAGAAGCCCGAGTCGCGAAACTCCACGGTAAGTTATCGTACATCACATTTAAGTTTTTGGTGTTGTCCGCTAGCCATAAAGTTATTCTATTAAACGGCTATAATTCTAATCGCGAAACATTTTAATATTGCGCCTTACAGATGACCCTAGCCTTCTGAGAGAAGCCCAGGATGACTTCGTATTGAAGTTGGAAGATGATTCTGTCGATAAAGAGAATCTACCTCCGTCACCAGAGCCGAAAAAACGGAAGATGTCCTCCAAAGCGGAAAAACCCAACAAGAAAGCCGCTCAGAAACAATCAAAGCCAAAGAAGCCAAAACAGGTACGGTTAAATAAAATATTATTTCAGTTCATACAACATGTTTAACATTATTAAGGAAAAACTATACAGCATGTATTCATGTAAATTATAAATAGGTGATATACAGTATGTATCTACATAATAGTCAGGTTATATACAGTATTGAGGGGTTTTGTAGATGGAAATGATCAAGTGGAAAAATTCTATACCGGTATACAATTATTAGACCTAGTAAACAGGATTCAGGAACAGCTGCAAAATATGCAACTACATGTCCCTGGTAGCAGGCTTTTAGTTAGCCAGAAGGGCGTCCAGGCGTCCTGGGACGCCTCTAGAACAAAAAATGGACGCCTTTGGACGCCCAAATTCTGGGAGAAAAGGGAAATTATTTTGAACTGCAAACTAAGTATATTAATATATCCGAAACGAAATAGCTTCACTTCTTATTATCATTATACATTTGACATTTTGATCAATTTAATGGTGTACCTGGCTGAATGAAAATGTTGTAGTTAAGTAAAGAAGCATAGCGGCACAAAATCACAAAGCCAAGTGTGTTTGAAAAATTTCGAACAAGCTTGGAACAGACACCGACATGAAGTAACGTAAACTTCAAAGGTTTTCCAGAGGAACATTTTCTCAACCCCCCCCCCCCCCCCTCTTTACTGTAGATATTTCGTTATACCAAAATTGGATGCCCTCTTTTAGAACCCTGGCTAAAAGCCTGCCTGGTAGGAATTAATCCTGCGGCCCTGCGATTCCGGGGCAGTGCTCTAACCAACTGAGCCACATAGGCCAGTTGCTGAGTTCTAGCCACAAGTTCATGTATTTTAGAAAACAAACTTGAGTTACTTCATATGAACTTTAACCCATTAAGCGTCAGAGCTACCCCACTGACGAGTAAAATCGTCTGGCGTTAGACAAGTAAAAAAATAAGTAGGGCGCACTGGGGCGCGTTGCCACTCAATGGGTTAACTAGAGACATCGTCATATTTTTTGGGTTAATCCATTAAGCGGCAGAGCTTCCCCACTGACGAGTAAAATTGTCTGGCGTTAGACAAGTAAAAAAAATAAGTAGGGCGCACTGGGGCGCATTGCCACTCAATGGGTTAATTCAGTACAAATTTATTTCGTATGACAAGACGAGTCTTGCCAGTTTGTCTCCTAATCGTATTAGCTGTCCTACGGTATTGGGCACTCTACTCATATATGATTAGAATATATATACTGTATATATGTGACCTTCCTTGGGAAAACATACGTTAACGGTTTTGAAAAACGTTCTGAAAAATCGTTCGTTATCCGTTCGTTATCCGTTTAAACGCTTTAGCTTTCCGTTGAAACGATATTTGAGATCGTTCAGACTTCTTAATGGACCGTTCGAACGGTTGGACAAAAACGTTTGAAAAATGCTGCTAAATCGTTCGAACGACTGGCACAAAACGTTCAAATACGTTCATGAAGCCGTTTAAATGCCTTACAGAACGTCTTTACAATGTTTATAAGCTGGCTTTGTAGGCATTTAAAAGTTTATCTGAAACCGCTTGTCTTGTAGGATTTACAAAAAAAACACACTATTATAGTATTACAGACAGCAGTATAATATAAGTTCGCCACCCCTCACAATATTAAATATTCTTTATTAGAAACACGAAATATTATGAACAGGGATATTCTATTTAAGGGTTTTTTTGAATAATACTTTAAAATATCCTTAATTTTCTCCAAATTCCACAATTGTCTAGGACAGTTTTTGAGGAAATATTTGATTTTCGCAACGCCGGCGTTGGAAATCACAACGTTCACAGGCATTTTTGCCAAAAGTAGCATGTCCCGTAATTTTACGGTTTAGCGAGATCTTCAAAACATGCGCACATTTTGCAAAACATGTGTAACAACGTAATAGATTTTCCTAAAAGTAGCGGCAAATAGTATTTCTAAACAGAAAAAGACAAAACATGTTATGTTGGAAACAAGTTAAATTTTACTTTTGGTCTAGCCACAAAAAAGAGAGGGGAAATAGGTCCAATAATTTCAATTGATGACAGAAATGAAGCAATGGGCGGAACGTTTATGCAGTATAGTTATAGGTTGTGCAAATAAAGCAAAAATTTATTCGCCAATGTCGAAAATCACTATTGCTGACAATTATAGCTAAACGTACAGCCAACACAGCTATGAAAAATGTTCAAACCAATCTTTTGGTGTGAATATATTCCGACCAAAATATGGCGTGAATATATTCAGACCAAAATATTTGCGTGAAAATATCCAGCTGACCAAAATATTGGCGTGAATATATTCACACCAAAATATGGCGTGAAATTATTATTTTCACGCTACAACTTTGGTCTGAATATTTTCACGCCAAAATTTTGGTCTGAATATTTTCACGTCAATATTTTAATATTGGCGTGAAAATATTCAGACCGAAATTTTGGCGTGAAAATATTCAGACCAAAGTTTTGGCGTGAAAATAATCAGACCAAAATTATGGCATGAATAAATTCAGACAGAAATATTGGCGTGAAAATATTCAGACCAAAATTTTGGGATGAAAAAATTCAGACCAAAATATTGGCGTGAGAATAT